CAAGTTGCCTCCCACCCTGTGTGCATATGTGTAAGTGAGAAAATCAGTGTATGTGGCTGCAGGGAGGGGGGCTTTCACCACTTTTCTATAAGCTGTTTGTGCATATCTGTGCCTAAGTATGTTGGGATACACAGTTTAGCAGTGTAGCTTTGTTGATGCTGGTTATTTATCTGTTCTTTGCCCATCAAGCTCCGCTTGTTTGGAATAAACATCCGCTGCACATGTGGGAGGTGGCTCTGTTGAGATGCTCTGTGTGCTTATGTTTCTAACCTCAGTCCTCTTGTTGTTTATGCGCATGTGTAAGTGAGGACGTTGTTGCCGGTCCTCACTTTCTCACACACCTTCAATGTCCAGATTCCTGGCTGCAGGAATCCACTTGAGACTTGCATGCATTTTCTGTTAGCTATGTGGACTGTTAGCTAGGCCCACATTTATAATCAAGACAGCTCTCAGTAAAATGAACTTGGCTTTGAGAGCTCACTTCATTATTAATGAATTTAACAGTCTCCTTATACTTATGCTGCACATGTAGTTGATGATCAGTGCTGGTCGCTTGTGCTATGTTTCTATGTTGGTTTTCTAGAGGCACTGTCAATAGCTCCCCAAACAACCTTATTTTACTTATTTACAATGATGTTCTGTCCAACATAATCAGTATGAAGGCTTTCACCACCCACTTTCTTGTGGCTTAGTTTACTGAGGCTGCAGATAAAGCCGTGACATAGTTGCATCTGAAAGCTAAACATTCAACAGGAAAGGCAGGTAGCTTATATTTGGAGTGGTTTTCACTTTCTTTTTCCATCTCCTGCAGTCTAACCTTTCCCTTTATTTGTCTCTGGCAACGACAAACAATCAAGTTACCACCATCCAACCCGCTACTCGGGAAATTTGGCTAAAAACGTTTCACACAAATTCTCTGGTACATTTTTGCTGTTCATCAATATTACTTGTCTGAACACTAAAAAAAGCCACTGTTAGCTAACATTGCTGCTAATGTGGCCAAGTTGAACAG